CGTCTATACGTCCGTCTCTCCAGTACGTAAGCAAAAACTCCTAACCAAAGCTAGCTGGCTTCGCTAAATGTGTGCTTTGTTAAAGCTATTAAACCGAGCTTAAAACGTCGATTTGATAATTGCAAATTTATCGATTTAAAATTTTGCAGAAAAATGTATTAAAGGGCCCTCTAAAAGACCAGCCATGTTTTATCTGCACGTTTTAAGAAAAACATATTTTAAATAAATTATCAAGTCTTGACGTGCCGGGCATTCAAAATTTTCTAATACAGGGCAGAAGCCAGCAAAGAGTTTCGTTTAAGTGTCTTTCAAAAAAGTGTGAAAGAATAAGCTCCGGCAGCCTTCCAGCAGATGTAACAGATGTAACAGGTTTTATAGAAAATTCTCCTTATGTAAATGTAAAGGTCTCAAACTTTACACAATAGTATAATTTGTCTCACCTGATGTATTCCGAAGGATATTTGAGAGAAGTGTTATTTTTTCTGCTCAATTTGAAAGATAGTGCTGCTACATTGTGACTGTTGGAGTAAATCATCACGATATTGAGATTTTTGGACTTGTACAATAAAAGTCGTCTAGAATACGTTTGTGCATAGGTTCAAAAAATCATTTGTAAACATGGAATCATTATCAATTATCGTATCGTTTACTTAATTCTAGTAAAAACTCAGCAGAAACTTATTTAAAATTTAATACCTATTTAACACATGTTTAAATGTATGCATATGTGTGCATACATATTGGTGATTGCGGATGTAAATTATTTATGACCTTTTGCATAATCTCGAAACAGATAAGTAATGCTTTTTTGAGCATTACAGATAATTAATACCTAATATATACGCTATTCCCATTGAGATGTTCAAGTAATCAAGCATTTTCCTTCCTTCGCATACGCACACAATAGCGCAAACGTTCGTAATTTTAATTATAAACTATCAGTTAAATTATAGAACAAACGAAAAAGACGAAGACGAAATGAAAAAAAAAAAACGCCTAGACACATATCGCACACACACGCATACAAAACAACTAATTACCTTTCATTATCCTACGAGGACTATGTGGCAAGGTTGATAACGACATGCATACACAAGAGAATCGGGGAGAAGAAGAAAAAGAGGAAGAACAAGAGGTGAGAGAAAAGAATGCTAAAGTCGAGAGTAAAGTGAATAGCATGCACAAGCACAAAAGTATAATTTGCACGATGTCATGTAAGACTTGGTTACACACGGACGCAGACGTACATGCTTGTGCATGCAAATGCATTTATCACAATTTGCATTAATGTTAAAGTCAAAAAGGTGCAAATAATAAGCGAGGCATACTAGTGCACATGTAACACACGTATAAACATTGCGGCAACAACGGCAACAAATATGAATGAAATATGAAAAAAGAAAACGAAAATCCTTAACGCACGTTCGAGTACAATACTGGCGTACCATGTGAATTGATATTTATATACGTGTATGAATTCATTCATGTAGTACATGAAACTTTTGCAGGTACATGAGACTTTTGTTTTACTTTCGTTATAAATTATTGTACGTAGAGTCACGGCTACAAAATGCAATCGCCGTATGTCGCATATACGACAATTACAAAAGTTTTACAATAATAACAATAATAATATGGCCGAATATCAACAAAGATATCCGCATAAATTACAATAATAGCAATGATAATAATAATAATAATAATAATAATAACAACAACAACAGAACCTACGCTACACAATATAAGACTTCACGTAACTACATACAAGCATGTAGCAAAAGTTATGAAAACATAAAGTTTAAGTGCTTTCGTTTCTTTTATTCGTCGAGTATCTTATATCTGTCTATACATAAATTGCTTATGTAGTCACATTTTCTTACAAAAGCCTCTTAAATGCTGAGAAGCATTTTAATTAAATTGAATTTTCTGCTTATACTTGCAACCAAGCTCGTACGCTATTGTTTATTAGCACTTCCACTTATACGTTGCACGAACTAAGTAATGCGGCCATTATTGTATTTATGTAAAAGCATTAGCATTAATAAAGCGCTATGTTGTGAATGATTTGTTGGTAAAATTTTCAAGAGATTCTTATGTAATATTTAATTAATTTCTATGGTAATAGTTATCTGATAGTTCTAATCGATTTAAAGGAGTTGCGCAATCAGTTCGCCTTATGAAAAAGTTTATCTTAAAGAAATCTTTTACAATTATAAGTACACTACATTTACATCTATTCACATCTACTCATCAGCTACAGCCTCCTCATTGAAGTTAATAAATCAAGATGGAGGAGCAAATATAATTATTTTCAGAATACTGGGAACTGGAAATATAAATACAAAAATCCATAGTATTCGCTTCTAAAAGGTAATGTCACCTTACACCCTCTACGAAAAGTTCGCTTTACTAAATTACTTTTACAATCTGCCTACACCACTTAAGGTATAAGAATATGTTAAGTTTTTTTGAGTGTATCCAACACCCAGAAGAATTTGGGATAGACCCATCTTTCATACCGATCGATTCAGAATCGAGCTTGTCTGCTCCTCTGTGCGTCTTTTTTTCGAATGTTCAACGTACAGAATGCAACAAATTTTTTTTGATACTTTAATGAAATTTGGTGCAATAACATTTGTTGGCCTAAGGACGAACGCTGTTGATAATGATTCGCATCGGAACTTTTTTCGACCACTTTCCTTATTTTGAAAATTCGTCATATGAATAATCTTAGGATTGCGTAGCGTATTTGATAATGGCTCATGGTCTTCTGTAGCGCTTGTGTTTTAGAATTTTTTTTCGAGGAAATGTATGGAAATAATATATGGAAATTTAACGAAATTATTAGCCTTACTTCCAATCTACGAATCCTGCTGCATATGCTTGGTTTAAGGGCTTTCAACACTTCTCTGGACGTAGCAAGAGCGCGGTACAAATGTTTTTCATATTCTTTCAATTTTTTATTGTTCTTGCTAAGTTAGGTAGAGAGCTCCCTATGAATGTAAAAGCACTCCATGCCTTTCGGAAAATCGACTTTTCGGACAATTTGTATATTTCTTTTTTTATTTATTTTATTTTTTTTATATAACCTTTAAATAGTTTGAGGAATATTTAAAACACACTAAACAACCCAGGAAAAGATAATAAAGTTACATTAACGCTTTAACTACGCGCCAGGACTCCATTTGGAGAGCTGTGGTGACTATATTTGGGAAAATTACTGCGTTCTTGCTATTTTCTGTCTGTTCTTGAGAATAAAAGGCAGAATTTGGGATTTAAATAGGAACATATGATCCATATGATATTGTCCATAAACATCCTTTTATTATTTATAGAAAACTTATGCTTTTCCTTATTTTAAATAACGCAATGTTTTCCTAATTCCAATGATCTACCATAATCTTGTGTATAATAACTAACTGGAATTGGTTTATTTAATTCATGTATTGATAGTATACAGTACCGTATGTATCCTGTCTATTTTAAATCACATTTCATGTAAACATTTTATAGGTAATTTGTGACCCTTTCCTTCTAATATATTTGATTGCTTTTTTGAAAACGAGACGGAGAATATGAAACAAAAAAGTAAACAAATATAAAGATATAAAACTACAGTAATTTGGAAAATGAGGAAATTACCGTTTTTTTTATAGTTCTAGTTGTTTCCATTGTTCGCTCTAACAGATTTTTGAACTTATGCCGACACGAAACGTAAGGAGAAAATTCGAGCTCAGTATTTAATTATGAGGACGAAATTTTGTAATCCCAATCGCTATCATCAAGCAAACAAAGAAAGGATGAACCCACTGATATATCTGGTTCGATTTATGTTGATCAGGAATATGTACTTGAATATATGAAGAATTAGATGAACATACACGTGTTGAAAAGATCTGCCAAACTTCAAATACCTTCAATCGTAGATATGAGGCTTTCCGTAAATAAAGATAGGTCAGCACTTGACTTTACAAAAGGTCTATAGGTGAGATTGGTAAGACAAGTACTTGAATATGCTTCTGTCGTGCGTTATGTAGTTTCAATGGAATCCTTTCCCAAGCAATTGCTGCTCCTTGTCCTTACGAATTTGCCTTCGAACACGTCTGTCTCTTCACCCTCTTATAAAAATAAGTTGGTTTTGTCAGCATTTTCCTCTTGACTCGCCGCCGCGGCTCCTAACCATGCTTCTAGGAGCATTAATTCACCTTGTGTAGGTATAACGCTCTCAACTATAGGATGGGGGCATATGCGTCATGAGGAAAACTCTGCAGCGTCCAGAAGGAAGATTGAAGTAGTGTATGCACATATATATGTATTTACATATTCTTGATCAACCTACCTACGTAAGTTTGTCTGCCCATCATGGCGTCTGTCTGTACGTCTGTCTGTGAAAGACATACTCCCGGTCGCAAAAACTACGAAAACGAGCTAAAATTTGGCAGAATATTGCTTGCATGCAGTTGGGTCTTGAAAATGGGTCGAATCAATCTAAAAATTCCTCTCTTTGCAGAAATCAGAAAAAAATTTTTGTTTTGATTTTTCCTTGTTATTCATTGGTATAAAAGATTAAGCCACAGGGCAATATAACTTTTTTCGTTAAATTGCTATATAAATGCAAAGGTGGGTGAGCGAATGAATGACACCTTGAAAAATTAACTACAATATTTCTCAATTTCTGTAGAATCAGTTAAAGGGAATGCTATAGAAAATATTGCCGCTAGAGCTTACCTTGATTATTATACTATTATTAATCCAACATTTCATTGTAACTCCAGTTAAAATTTCTTGTAACCATCAAATTTTTTTACCGTTATTTAGGTTAGAACATCTTTTTTATTTTTGTTTTATTTTTTGAATATATTTTTTTTTTACGTAAGCAAAATTTTTTTTTTTAAATTTTAAACATTTATTTTATATATACATTTTATTTTTATATACATATATATATTTTATTTTATATATACATTTTTTTTTTGAGATTTTAAACATTTATTTTATAATATATTTGATTTGATTGCATTTAAATTTGTATTAAGATTTTTTATTTTATTCTTCTATTTCTTAATTACACAAGCGGTTTAGTATATAGTTCAAATTAAACATTATCTAGTTGAATTGATTTGAATTTTTATTTTATTTTATTTTTTTTAACACCGTATTGAGATTTTTTTATTATTATTTATTAAGATATTTATATTGAAACACCACTCACATACGTCAAGCATTCACTATATTATTTTTCTTTCGAAAAATGCTTATAAATGCATTGAAATAGATTTATGAGAATTATTTCTTTTTTCTATTTTTCTTTTGCTTACTTCCTTTCTATTGTATTCAACTTCTCGTTTTAAGTCGATTTATATTTCTCCTGCTCGTCCTCACTTATTGAAAATCAATTACCCTGTTTTTCAAGTGCAATGAGTTGGGAGTCTTCGCTGCATTCCGAATTCAATCTTTACATTAATAATACTATTAACATAATATGTAATCAAGTATTGACGTTCATCTTATTATTCTTTTTTCTCATTGTTTATCATATTTGAATATTGCATGTTTTACAATTCAATTACAATTATTTCCTCATACTTAATATAGGAAATACGAGTTAAGGTAAATAAAGAAAACTATGCATGTACAGTTTGTATTTAAACTGTAACGATATAATTAAAGAGAGATAATTAAAAGACCCCAAAATCACTTTAAATAATCTGTAAACTTCTATCTTATTACAAGCGCGTTTGGAAAACGGGCTGAAGGATTGACATAAGGAAATAAAAAACAATTTAATCAAAAACGTTTTTCAGTATCATTTATTCTATACATACATGTAAAACTTAAATTGGATGTGCTAGCGGAATGCTTTCAAGATGCTCGAAAATCTTGCCGTAACTGACGGCTATGTGGGACACCTTTCACGTGCAATATGAAAGTTGGCTCTTTATAATCGTAACACCTCCGGTGATAACTCTGAGTCAGTTTTGCGAACTAACACACAGAAAGATCCATAGATTGAATAGGCAGACTTGTAATTGACGGACAGATGGACGAACGAGCTGGAAGACAGATTATATGACAAAAATCATAGCAATCGGAACGGCAAACAAGCGGCCAGACAAGCGAATATTAGTATAATAATTTAGTCATATTTCTTTTTCATTATGAACGTCGTTGAACGACTAAAACCTAATGTAATAGAAAACTACTAATTTAAAAAAATTTGTACAGTGATATCTATAGGTATAAAGCAGTAAAACAACTACTCAATTAACTTGAAGCTTTTTTAACATTTGCCACATTTGAAGTCGACAACACGTAAAAGCGATGTGATGACAGGTCTCATTGCATGAATAAAAATATTTTCAATTCCTAAATGAATCTGGCAAGAGGACATCTTATCGAAAAACAATTTGCGAAGGGTCGAGGAGTGATATACTTCCTCTTAGTCTTTATATCAATAAATATATTGAAATAGGCGGTAGAGATACTAAAGCCATCCATATCTCAATGGGTTTGAACGGCTGTCGCAAATTTTAAAAAAGTAATTGAATTGTTTAGTTCCTCGGATGAAGATTTTCAAGTGTAGGACTTACAACCTTTTTGGGAATTATAATAAACGAAATTTGTTCGGATTCTACATTGCAATAACGTACCTTTAAAAGGGCTGCATGCAAAGTGACCAAAAAGAACCAGATAAGTGAAACATCAGCTAAGCCTAAAACTCATAGAAATGTATCGACCTCTTGATTATGATTCATTGAAGACATTAATTCTTGATAGCTTTTGTTTTGTTCACACTGTACATGCGTAATATGCATTGAAATAGATGTTCGGTAAACGACTCATCTGTGGATAGAAACATTGGTAGCCACCAATCCCTGGGTATTAACATGATGCAATAAATCTAATACTGAAGAACTTATTTGATATGATTCGGTTATTATTCCTCAAAATGATTTATTATCATTAATGTAATTTTTTTCATTCTTTTAATGGTTAAAATATTGTTTTAATGCCACTCGTTTGTCAGGTTTTCATTTAAGTTTAATGCTATCGATGAAATATTTTATATATGTATTGTACACGGCACAACGATGCATCCTGAATGGCATAAAATATAAGTTTGAATTTTTTTCTTTTTGTTTGTATGCACAATATTATGCTTTATTCATAACTCATAAGTCAGGTTGTTTTCCCGGCGAGCATATCACACAAACAAGCAACGTATTAAATTATTTGTCGAATTGATTTTAAAAAATTTAATTTTTTCTTTCTAATAATTAGTTATTATTATGGGAAATTTTTTTTTATTATATAATGAATAATTTGGGTTTTTTCAATTAATTAAAAATAATTTTTAAGCGAGTTTATAAACAAACAAAAAAAGTCATTTTGCATTTAATAATTTATAAAACTTTTTAAGGACATTTTTGGTTATTATTTATATTCCTGTCGTTGATTATTCTTAACATTTGATAAATTTTTTATACAATGTAACACAAGCAATGGCGTTAAATTATTTAATAACAACTTCATATTTCATCAACAAGTCAGCATGTTTTTTAATATCACATGATTGGTTCTAAATGTTATTTTTTCTGGCTTTTTTTATCGTTCTGTTTGTAATAGTTAAAGTTTCTCTATAAATGTGTTCCCAATCGCTATACTGTCGTACCCAACCAAAAACCAACCTCCATATTCGCAAGCAATAAAGACTGCAAAACTCGCTAATAAAGCATGACAGCGCAAAGCTGTCCCTCATTCTGATACTGAAGTCGATTTTACAAATCGAATTTCTTGCTGACTTGACACAAAAGTTCTAAGTCCACACAATCGAAAAAAAAGCACAGCAGATAATGTATTGGTATTGAATTACTACACTTTCAATGATGAATCGTTAGGGCAATGTCATCTCCGTGTGTGGAATGGTGACGATCAGAAAAATTTGGGGAAAGAAAAAAAGATGGAGAGGGACGCGTAGTCTGGTCAATGTGTGCCTAATCTATCGAGCCTATCAATCTGTTATTATTGAAATTTCGGCAAAGTAATGAAGAAAGCAGACAGTCAAGTTCATCTGTACCTGCAGAGGGAAGGTCTCCCGGCAGAAAGGCAAGCCAAGTTAACAATGCACATGCATTCAATTTATATATGAAAAGCCAATTATAAGGTGAATATAATGTTCCTGTTGGCCGTTTTAAAACACCTATAGGAATTATACTAGATTTCTGTGAGCGATCGTTACGTCCAGCTTTGCCCAGCCAAGCCATATAGAGCGTAAACGATCTGAATCCTCTTAAGCTTCCTAGGTCACATTAATTTAGTCATGTCCAGCCAATCTATATAACGAAAAGTCATATTTATAACGTCTGCTTTTGAAATATTCAGGATAAGATGTAAAGAAAGAAGAAACAATTTAGGTGGATAATAAGCAAATAGGTCTGAAACTCAGTCTAATTTGCCTGCGCAAACGTGTACGATAGCTAAAGCTCGGAAGAACAAGGTTGAAATAAAAGTTTAGCACACTTTGAAATGAACATTTTGGTGTAAAACGATCAGACTATTAGCCAACTTACACACTTGGTATTAATAACATGGCTTTTTCTTCTTCTTATTTTTATACCTGCTTACTTTAAATGGAAAATATCTACAATTCTTTATGAGACAAATAAAACTTTCTTTCTTACTTTTTCCTTTAATTTATTTATTTATTTTTTTTTTTTTTTTGGGAGCACACACACGTTTCCTTTGCACTTCGAACGCAACACAAATTTCGTTGTAATAATTTTAAACTTTTGCGATGCGTTTCATTTTAATTGAATTACTTGTATAATTTATTACAAACGTAGTAAAGTCGTTTTTTTTACTTTTTGTTATATGATCGGGTCGTTACGAACTGCGCTGCAAAAAATATTTTTATTTATATATTGTATTTACGAAATATTTTCTTTTTCAGTTTCAATTATTTAGCTATTGTGTGAATATAAATTTGTCACAGTTATATAATTAAATTTTCCTGCAAATTTTACCTTCATTTGGAAAAACTTCATAATAAACGCACACACAATGTGAAGTTTTTCATTTCATTTAAAAGACGATAATTGGATGCTCGCACAAGCCTTAGAGCATTTGCAAAAACATTTCGTAGAGGTTATTGTTTCCACTGTAAAGAAATAAAAAAAGAAATAAAATGTATAAATATCATGAAAAAAAATAAAATGTTATTAAATTGAAGAAAAATATTAAATTTTGCATAGATATTTTAAACAATAAATTTTGCATATATGCACTACATATTATTGCTAAGGAAGAAAGTCTCACATGTGTGCAAAGTCATTAAAATCTCATTATTTCTCTGTGCATGTTTATCGGTATGTCTGTCTCTTCCTCTTCCTCTTTCTCTTCCTCTCTCCTCGATCTCGCTTTCTCACCCATCCTCCTCCAGGAGATCCACTGATAAATTTTACTATTAACCATTATTTGATAAAAAGAAAAGAAATATATGTAAACAAGGTGAATCACAAATATAAACAAGGTACATCATATGCTTGGTTGTTAGCCATATTGTTGTTAAACATATGTTTCTGCCAACATTAAACCAAAGTAACAAAGCACAGGGAATCAATTGTAGGAATAAGATCATCAACTCCCATAAAAGTGTCTTGAAATCTTATTAGAAATCTCTAATAAAATTTATATATGTTCATGCACCGTTGGAAAGATGTATACATACATATATACTTACATACATGTCATATATACATATCGCTATATTTGTCCACGTACGTACGAATTCAATGTTGTACTGCAGAATTTATAAACAAATGCCTAAATATGTCAAATCCTATTAGACTAGATATTTATTGCTAAACAATTTGCACACTTTACATAGCAGTAGTTAGTAATCAGAAGCAGTTGTTAAGACTGCTCTATCGAGAAAATGAAGTTAAAAGGTTTGAAAACATATGAAGCATGCACGGCTATTGTGTAGAGTCTATACATCATATAACTTATGATAATGTAGATGTGACAAAGTTATATGCTGACATAGTTAAACGTATGGTTATGCTCGATTACGTTGTTCTTAAGTGAAAAGCAATGTTTCTCATTTATGGCCATTAAACTTTACAAAGAAACTAACTTTTGATTAATAGTCAGAAATTAGGTTAACTCTTCACTACTTTCCTATGAACTGTACAAGCGAGGCATTGCAGCTGAACTCATACGAAAGAAAATTGCGAAGGAATGCAAAAATTGCTCACAATATTATGAATTTTTTTATTTTTTCAAAGATTACGTCTGCCAATGGGTTTGATTAGCGTGCTTGATGCAATCAACAAACGACCTGCTACTGCATGTTTTCGAAATAACGATAAGTAAGTGTAATTCCGTAACTATGACTATGCTAATCTTCTCAAGCAATACTGGGCGTGTGGAAGGTGATAGTCCATTGCTAATTAAGGAGAAAAAAGATACGAAAACGTTGTGATACTCATTACTATGCTATTGAGAATGAGCCGAAATTTCCTATACTTTACATGAATCGATGTAGCTTCACAGACTTGTGCGCAAATTTGTGGTGTTTGTAGTGGTAGAAATTTTATCAGCAGCAGCTTTTATCAGGTGCACGCAAATGGTTTGTTCGTTGCAGGACTGAAGACTTTGATGCTCGCCGTGCTATGGTCGGCCAACCATTTATAAAGTCAAAGCAATTTTTCAAAATATTAAAAAGGTGGAGTACGATGACATCACTGTGTGTTTTAGTCAATCGGTGTACATGGATCAACATTAAAAAATAATATTTTTCGTTTGATGGGACTTGCAATGGAACTGTTCATCATCACAACTGCTCCATTCTGGCCAAATTATTAATTTCATTCGCCATGGTCAACAACTAACGCAATTAGAGCGCGCAAGCATGCCCCACTACACATGAATATTTTTTTGATTGACTTCAATGATCTCTTATATAAAATATAAATATGAGATGATGTGGGCGTGGAAAAATTCGAAATGGTCAATGAAGTTTCGAACGGCAGCTTAAAGGCACTTGAAAATTTGAAAATCATTTTCTGGATCTTTCCACGCTTGTCTGTGCGTCACCACGCAGTGTAAGGAAATGAAGGGTCGCGCCCCGATATAAGGTGTTGACGTTGTTTTTTTTTTTAACTTTTCACAGTATCTTGAAAATACCCTTCCCTACAGAATGACGAAGGATATGCAAGACGAAGTTGATCCAAATATTTTTCATTAATAATAGCGTGCGTTCTTTTCCGTGTAAAATTGGAATTTTTCATTCCATCGATCGGCAAGCACGTAAAAATCAGCATTTGTAGGGAATCTTACTTTATTTTCTAAATATAGAAATTTAGATTTAATTGATCTTTTTTCTCTCTGATCTTCGGGCATGTAAGACCTGCCACCGGCAGAGGTCGCTGAACTGAATGGCTACGTTTACCATTTTAAAATATTTTTCCAAAATAATTTTGCCTTTAATGCTTAAATATATGCGCATCATGAGCTTACCCAATATTCCTACGCTGCCACCTTTTTTCCATCGAAAGTGTAAAGACGGTTTCAAAGTTTTGCAATAACCGAAGAACGACAGCAAAAACCCAAGGTCAAAGTGACACACATTTCGTTAATATAATAAAATAGTTGATTCAAAAGGTAAGAAATCTGTATGCGAGTTTTGGTGATAAAAAATCACGGGCTTTCCCTTGCATAAATGCATAAATTTTGACCTAAATTTTGACCTAAGAGCATAGTCGAAAGAGCCGCGAAAGTTAAGTGGCACTCTATTAGAAACATAGGTTTCTTTAAAAATCACAGACAATCATTGACAAAATGAAACCACTTCGGAAGAAAATGCAATTCATATTTGCGAGAAAACAAATCCACTAAAGATTGATTATTGGACACGAAAGTTAAAAAATGCGGCTTTTTTTGATTTATAACAATTGTAGGCAAAAACCATAAGTGGCACATCCACAATGACTAATAAATACGCTTTTTATTGTTTGGGATATTGGCTATTAAGTCTTAACATACGTATTGTTTACGATAATAAATGTGTTCGAGCTGCTGTATGTCAAAGAAGCACCCGAAGAAAAATTTGCCGTTGGCGTCAAAAGGGAATCTTTTTCGATAGGAAACGTATCTTATTAAAATTATTTTTGCCGTAAACTGAAGCGTTCACTTAATTTTCGTTCAATGTCGTTAAACATACCGAAAAATGCCTTTTCTTTCCGCAAATCCTTCTTTTTAAACTACTTTGGTTGCGTTTAGAGGGGAATAGAGAAATTTTAACTCGGACACGTTATGTGGGGAAAGTTTCAAGATTTCTGTTTAATATACCCTGTACAGCGAACTGGAACCGAGAGAATGGGGCAGCTAAGTATATTTTAAGGAATCACAATCGCCTTTAAAAGTATTTTTGGGTGCAGCAAAGAAAGTTACTGCTTATCTCTCTTCTGGTAGCACTATTTCCATGGATTAAGGCAACGAACCTACAATCGAAACAATCGAATGTAATTTGAATTGTAAAAAATTCGTGAATCATATCTTGTTTTCGAACGAGCTTGAAACAGACCTTTCAAAATAATGACTTTCTTTAAAAAAGGGCGCGAGGGAAAAATTATACATAGCCAGTGCAAAATTGCTTTTTCAGAAGGTAACTCTTTAAATTGCTCTACGTCAGTCTAAGTTTGCGAGTTACCTCAAATCGAGTTGACATATCCTATGCAATATTTAAATAAATAAGCACAATAGCAGAAAAAACCAAAAAGAACAACAATATCCATGCAATCCCAACCACATTCGTCGTTCATGTCAAAGCCATGCTATAGTAATTAGTTTTCTGTCTTTATTTTTCTGTAATTTTGTTTCAGCTCTTCAGGTTTTTTCACGTAAAAGTTTAAGCTTCGCTCAACAATGTGTTGCGGGTTGTTATTGTTGTTATTATTATAATAATAACTGCATACTTTAACATTTAATATTAAAAGCAAAAAATCTACAAACGGCGGATTCAACTTGTATAACAATTCTTGGGCCAACATCCTTTCCTTGCATAAGCATAAAATATATGCGCACATATATATACTAATTTAATATTAAAAGACTTATACTTTTTGCAAAGTTTGAATTATGCAATTAATTTTTGTATTTCTGCTCCCAGGCAAAGAGAACACATTAAAATTATTATGTTGCTTAAAAACATAGCATTGGAATAAGATCTTTACTCATTTGTCAATAGGAGTTTGGAAGAGCTTTTACATACAATACCGTTACAAAAATGCACACTACAGCTAAAGGAACTTGATTGGAGAAGATCGAAGTAATTTGATTCTATTTTTTTTTTGTTTTTTTGTTTGTCCCCAAGCTACTTATCAAGTTTTCGCAACACGTAGAAATGTTTATTAGAAAGAAATGCAAATATTCTTGATTGATAAAATCGAATCACTCACTAAAGGGAATTTGTTGCAGAACAAGGGGACTGGTATGCCTATCTACCTCTTCGCGATTATAATTTGCAAACGTTGACAACAAACTACTTTTGCCTTCAATTTCACATTTCACAAGCACCAGACTAAGCTAAATCCATCGGCCTATGAGCACATACACAGTTAACCAAAGACTTTACTTCTTTTGTTGCGTGCTGGGTGTGCCGTGAAAAGGAAGAGATGGCCGTATAAAAAAGTCAGCAAATCACCAAAATGCACCAAACTTTTTCACAGAAGTACAAAACATCGTTTACATAAGGTTATGCCGGTACTTTTGCTCTAAGCTCTCTCGACGTTTCATTTCGTAAAAATCCAATGTTTAATAGCAGAACAGTATAATTTTACAAATCATGTAAATTGTCACAGATAAGAGATCGAGAATAATTTTTACCGCCATATGCTCTTCACAGTTCAGTAAGCAAAGAAAATAATAAGTTGGTGGTGACGGACTTTATATATTGCTTGCTGTTCTTGTGAAAGCCACAACCTGGAGACCAAATGATGAGGTAGTTTTGGAGCCACTCGGCAGAAATTGAACGCATTTGCACCAAGAATGAAGAGAGCAAAGACGGATTAAGTTATTCCCTTTAAAGCGTAACCCCGACTCCTATAGTAAGTAGCTTCTGCTTTAATTCAAAATATTTTAGAAATCATACATAATTGTGATTTCTACCGAACATACTTTTTAACTTCAGGTTCTTACGCCGACCATTAACTGATGGGTAAATCTGAGAATTACAATGGAAGATAATTCGCTCAATTTATGTAATGTAAGCGTGGCATCGCGCACAAAGTGAAGCGATAAGCCAGCTTTTGGATGCGAATCTCTTGACGATGAGAAAGACATACGTAGTGCGAAAACTTTTAAGAACGTGTATGAATAAATTTTACAATTCATCCTTCCTAATGATGCCGGCTACAACAGCACTTTACCCCGCTCGGCTTCGACAGACGGCCGGATGAACTACCAAAATGGGCAAGCTTGGATCCTTGCATCGACAATTTCGTATTTATTCGCAATGTTTATCGCTGCTTATTTCTGTGTCTCAACTACACTATGGTAATTCTTCTATAGCTCTCACTACCTGTCAGTAGCACTTTGTAAGAAAATTCTTGGCATGGAAAACTTTGAATCATATCCAAGTGATTCATATGTGCTTTGCATATTATGAATGCCATTAATTTGATTTGCAGCACAAACTGCAGATAAAGCAAAATTGTTGATAACAAAAATTTGCCTTAAAGCCGCTGTAAGTGTTTTTTATTTAGTTCTTTAAAAATTTTAATATCTTGTACATTTTTCCCAAGTAATTTTTTTTTAAGAAAATGAAATAAACTATTTTCTTATTTCTAAATCACTATTGTGTTTCTACGAATTCGACTCTCATTATCAGTATAAGCAAACGAGCAAAGTAGAGCAAAGCAATTTTCCCACGACAATAAAGTTTCCTTTGTGTTCATAATTCTAAGAAAACAACTTTAAACTTTTAATGATGTTTTCCTTTTAAGAATGGAGAAAAATTACCGTTTAGCTGTTTTTAATAATCCACATGTAATATTAAACGCATTGTGTAGTATTCGTAAATTAAAAGACCGGAAAGAAAATCCTGTGTACCTGATTTTGAAAATGAAAAACAAATATTAGCTCAAAGAGTGAATGCACTGCAGCGGAATGAATGTTTGTAGCCATAAATTTTTGTTCAAAGTTACACGATTAAGTTTACAAAAAAAAATGCACTTTTTTTTTGGATTTCCTTTTTTTCGTTTTTTTTTTTTTTTTTTTTTGTATTTAATTCTTCACTTTATTCAGCACGTTCGGTTGGCTTGATAAATAATCCGTTTGGGGAAACACACAAATGCGTTTAAGTCGTTGTGTTTTGTTACAGATTCATCGTTCAACTGCCGTTGGATGCTGTTGGAGTTTAACAGTGCGGAAAGGAATGATGAGAGAGAGAGAGAGAGGGGGAACAAAGCCACATTCATAATTAAAATCTTACTTATATGCCTTCTGTTAAGTTAACAGAATACCGAAAGAGAGACATAAAAGTTTGGCGCCAGATTTGTAATTTAAAATTTTGCATCACCTTCCTAAAGACATGCGCAATAAGTTTTGATTAAAAAGTTCTCTCTCAATATCTCTCTCGTTTTCCACGTCTCTTTATAGACATCTGGCTTGAGTTTAGTCATTAGAAAACACGTGTTGCCCTATATGTTTGGTAAAGGTAAAGTTTGTTTATTTCGAACTTGAATAAAAATGAAAAAAAAACCCACAGCTTGTGACGCATTTTTGAGAATATTAACCTTTGATAGAAAAATTTTGAAAATCAAATCAAAACCTATTACAAAACCTACAGCTGTTCATCTCTTCGGTAAATACTAAGTAAACACATTTCCCTCACCTCTGCCATGCTTTCATTCACAATTATTTCTATATTGTTTACGAGGATTTTTGTTGCTGTAGGTTAAGGTCTATGTTAAAGTGAACATAGTTTTCGAAATTGCTCTAGAAGAAATGCTCTCCACCTCTACGTGAAATCGCTACAATCGGTACATAAGCCAAAAACGCGGCGTATAAACCTCTTATATCTGTAACTACGTCTATAAAGCATATGCTATACACCTGCGGTATACAAAGACCCTAATGTAAATACAAATCTGAGATTTGTACTTACACTTCCCTGTGGCATTCTTGTTAACATATTCCTTAGTTTGATAGCCTGTTTTTAACATCCTTTCTTCTATAAGTAGGTTTTCATGTTAACATTGTCACTATTGCTGTTGTTTATATATTTGTTGATATGTTTCTTTTTTCTTTTGCTTTTGTTTTGTATATATATATATATATATATATAAGGTTATATATTAAGGTTAGTTCTGTTGTCGGTGCCAATAAACACATGTTTTTCAAAAATTATGTTCGGCCAGCAAATGCAACAACGCCGGAAAAAACAGAGAAAAATTTCGGATATTGAGAAGGAGAGAAAACGCAAGTCAAGGAAATTTGATGTCGTATATGTACGGTACAACTGATTTGTGCTGCTGCATTGTTAGGATCGTTTACAAGCAACACCTAAAGGCATGACTTTGTTACTATTTGAAATTTTATATGGTTTTGAATTCCTCAGTATTCTTTATGTACTTTCTCATCATTTATTACAGAAGCAAAGTACTCGCTATTACACAAAAAAAGAAATGGAGTCAAGTTAAGGTTAAATAAAATTTTCTGAAAAATTTGTTTAAACTAACTCTCAACAAGAAGGAAAACAATTCTTATATAGGTAGGTTTTGTGAAAGCTAATAAAAACAAGAATATTATGAAAAGTTTTATTTTTAAAAATTAAGCCGAATCTTCTTTCTATGAATATTTGTATAGCTTTTAAGTAAAGCCGTTTTGACTCATATTCGTTGAACGGGTAACTTCAGCATTGGAAAGGGAAAACTAGAGAAAACAGTCGTGTGATTACGATATTTCAAATTAGACCCCACGTGACTTCCAAGTATTTTTCTTAGCTCGTTGTGCTGCAGGGTAGGAGATGGTGGCTTTGTCACTGAAAAGAGCAAAATAAAAAAGGGCAAGCAAGGCTGATTGGGACGAATTTTACGCCCCAAATATCGAATAGGTGGACAAGAGGAACCTCAAACGTTAGTTTCGTCTCTTTACCCAAATATCTTAAGTTTAAAGAAGAGCATTCATGTAACGGCTTCCACATCTTATCTATCTAGCCATTAGAGATTGACCAGAAAGTAAGACTATTAGATTTTGTCAGGCTCTTTTCAATAGTTTATGTTATTTACATGCCTATGAGTTGCACACAGACGATTCGCCGCAAATTCTCCCTTTCAGCAATTCGATATATGAAAATTCCTTCGAAGTTGACAGTTCTTTCAGCACTGGTCACGTGAAGAGAGTGTCTAATAGAGTAGCAGATCTAATTAAATGTCATCGTTCACACTGATCACTGACTGTTGTATAATTTGCAAAGCAAGCAATTGGACGATATCTTTCACTATTACTGGCAAATTTCCTGCGGCTATATATCCTGAACATTAGCATTAGTGTGATCAATAAGTAAGAAAGCTAATGAAAAAGAGAGATACCAATAAAAAAGTGATTTTATTGGAATATAGAACAAGTCATCAGAAAATAAAGTGTTCAATTTCATGACGTTAGACGATAGTTTGACAACCGTACGAGACAAACCACTTTTTTTATTTGTTTCGCCTTCATTCAACTTTAACTATCTCAAAATATAACAACGAAAGAAACTAAACAAAAGTTGGACGAGCATTACAGAGGGCACTCGCTCACGTTTAGCTTACTCCACAGACGCGTAATTGTAACGTTTCCCTATATAAAATCCTGATTTCTTTACGGATATGCTACGACAAGCCGATATATTAAGTCACTCCTCATATGCTTAATATTTATATCAAAATGCTTTGTATAAATACTTGCATTAAAATTTAATTTTTTGAGTAAATATGTATCATGCACGAATGAAACTCGACATGCACTAACCTGCTGTTGTGCTGGGACTAGGAAAACGCGACGCTAATGATAAACTTGTTATAAGCATAATGTACGCAAATAAATTATCAAAATCAAAACTGCATCAACTTCGAAAAATGAAATCAAACAATAATAAAATTAAAAATAAAATGGAAACAAAACTAAATCATTAATCGCTTTAAAATTTTTAAGCTTACTCTCTTTTTACTTTTACTATAAAATTGATATAGGAAACTGTTGGCCTTTTTTAAACATTTATTTTGTATTCTGTTAAAATATTTTATATACATTTTCTGGTTCGTGTGCAGCTCAAAGCAGAACAATCGTTTGTTGCAATTTGCACAAGAAGCCAAAAAAAAAAAAAAATGTTGGCAAGAAATCTCACAATAAAAATAATATGAAATGTAAATTTTGAGAAGAAAAAAATGTATATAAATGTAAAAATGCACAAATATATGTATACGTTTATATGCACATATAAGGCTTTGGTCAATAATTCAGGGAATTGACACATAGATGTCGTCTTTAAGGAAAAAAGGTCGATATATTTTCAGTAAGTTCTACTCATCAGGCGACGTTCCTGAAAATTTTGTGTCTTATCGGTCGGTATAATTAATGGGTTTGCGAAGGGGTTTATTGATTCTAGTGTCGCTATTTTTGTTGATGTCCCCTATGTATGTAACACGTTGATGCTCAGAAATAAGTGGCGAAAGAAAGAAAGGGTGGAGGTGAGTGGCCACAGCATTTGATGCGTGCCCAATAAATAAGCTCTATAGTTTTAATGAGTCAGCACTGACTGTAGCTACGACCAAGTTTGACCAAACCGAACTAAAGCGCAATATTTCACGAATTAAGGTTGAAGGTTGGGACCTGCCACATTTATCGCCTTTAATTTTTCTGCTCGGAAATTTCGAAAGCATCTTGCAGGTTAAAAGTTTTGGATCAAGCAACAAAGTCTCTGCGAAAAGTTAATTGTTGATCCTTTGGCTTTTTTCAAAATAGTCGACGACTATATTACGGCGCGCATCCTCAAATACCGATCCCCTAACTTTCCCAGTCGATTTTTGCGTTTTGGTCACGTTTTTGACAATGTCCGCCCGTTGCGATTCACTCGATTGACTGCCGATTCAACTCCGGAGTATAGTCAAGAATCCGTACTACATCTATTGTCATGACTCTCCCGAGCCCGAATAACTCTTGTGAACTCATTTCTCTACCTTAAGCAAAAGAGTGGCATCTCTAAAACAAATTTAATTTGTAAACTAGTGGTTGACATGTCATGAAATTTTGACACGTTTCCTTTGAAGGTTGGTACTAAGTAAAAATCGTATGAACGCTTTAATAGCGGTGACATCTACACCTAATCCTACGAACTTATTAAATGATGTGTTCTATACGCGTGTGTGTGTGAATGAGTAAATACAAGCAAGTTATATCCAATTTGCAGGGAATATTTTATGCCCGTCGATGGCGAACATTTGAAAAATTCCCATAGTTTCTCTAAACCTGAAGGCTTAAGTGCGGTAGAGATAGAAAGGTTCTTAGAATGATTTCGAATTGTCATGCGAAATGTCTGTGTAAAATTTTGTGGTGACAGCCGCTAAGTGTTGCAACAGATATTAATTGCAATGTATTACGTGCGGCAACCGATAGTAGCCACTTTAAAATTTTGATTTTGATTTTAACCTTCACCGAAGAAATACAAGCGTCCTTCTTTTTTCCATCCATTTACCACTCTAAGCATTCAAATAAAATATTAAGAAAGACTATCCGAGATACATAAGCTGAAGCTTGTCAAAAATGGCCATAGTTTCTGGAGCCTCTCTCGGCCATTTCAAAAAAGGACAAACCGAGCCTCTCTCCGGCCGATCGAAATGCTAAAATTTTAAACCTTTCATAAGTTTAACGTTCAGATGGCCATAAGAAATTTTTGCGCCAAACTTTACATCCATATCTGCTTCAGGCTATAATTTATATAGTTACAGCTCATATAAATTCGCCTGCTATGAGCAACGCTTGCAAGCATATCAATGAACAAATGAACAGTGCGCCTATTCTTATCGCACACGTGCGGCATATTTGATCATTACAACTGGAATTTACTACAGTCAGCTTCTCAAGCGATGACTGGTCATCCCTTCAGATTACGAAAACATTGCTTAATTTAATATACTTCAAACATAGGCTGCAGGCCAAGAACCAAGAAAAGTCAAAAATTATAATCAGTGAAGCTTACTGCAATGATG